TAACTTTGAAACTACAATGCATTTTGCAGTAGGACTTGTTGTGTTGGAAAGTTGACTCAGAGAGCTTTCTAGTGACAGGTCCTTTGTAACATTTGGAGTTGAATTGAAAGATTTAGAATCATTCAAAGTTGACCTTCATTTTTCCTACATCAAAATTTATCGATAAAATTATCAATAAGCTTTTCGACAATTCATTGTTTTTCAAGAGAAGAGTCATTTATCAATAAGTTTATTGATAACATAGTTTATCAATAATAACTTTGATAATTGTACTCAAATTTTGAAGCGTTTGATTATCTCTTTTAAAGCTAAATTTGCTTTTGGACACACACTAAAGGGGTTGAAAGAAAGTATGTTTCACCTCCTGTTCATCTTCCTCATCAATCACTCATCATGATTGGCCGCTTGCTCATCGCCTATCACCTTCGCTCTTCTAGCATTGTTAGGTACATTTCTCCTCCCTCTCTTCTCAATTTGAAAACTCATCTGGATAAGGGTGATTTTAGAAGGAGAACACTATTGATGCAATGCTAAAAAAGAACCTACAATTTTCAACCTGGGCGATTTCAAAAGGAGAAAGGGGTAGGTAAAATATTGGGGTGAATAAAATAATAGAGAAGAAAAGGGGAGATAAGGATTAGGGATCAAGGATGGATTTGAAGAGAAGTCTGATTTTGAATTTCTTATGCTTTACTTTTTTTTTATAGTTGGTGTAAATGAAGCTTCAATCTGATATAATGATTTGTACTTGAAAGTATTAATTTCTATCTTTGCTTCTTCTTTCCTAAATGTTGTTTAGATGGGCTTTTTTTTTTAATGAAACGTCCTAGTTTGTCCTAGTCTTGTCCCTGTCTCAATTAAGACTAGGAAACTTTCAAGATAGGATAGGATACAAGACAAAATTTTCATTTTATGAGAGTTTTCAAGATGGGACATGAGATGGGGGTATACCAGTTCCATCCTGTCCCGTGAACACCCCTCACCATGCATTTAAGTTGCTTTTTTTATCAACATTTTTAACACCTTTTGATTCTGATCCTTATACTTTTAACAAGTTTTGGTTTTGATCCCTATATTTTTAACTTGTTTTAATTTTGGTCTCTATATACTTAACGACATTAATGAAGGTCACACCATTAAACTCAATTTCATGTCCTTCTAAAATTATAGGCAGTAACATTTTGTATGACACCCCAACAACGCAACTTGGATACTTAGCGTCCAATCAATTACGCCATATAAGGGCTTAAGAACTTCGTCCCAAAGCTATGCAAAGCCCAAACAAAACCTTCTTAATACAATTGTTATCTCAAAGGATTAATTTCAAACGGTTACTCAGGCCGAAATATTTTATAAAATAAAATACAATTTTAATACCATAGCAATTAAACGTAAATGAACACAACTTGTGCTCAAGAAGCATAATAGAGCCTTCAAGATTGCCTCCTTTAGTGCATTCTCTTGACTTCTACTTGATCTCTAACCTAAAATGTTAAAATGATGGGCAAGCACTAATGGGTCGTTTAGTATACTCGAATTGATTTTGATGGAAATGAAAATGGACATAGATATGCACTACAAAAAAATAGGACATCAGTGATAGAATTTAGCAACAAAATTTTATTCCTTCATTAATCCATCACTAATCTGTGACAAATTTCATCCCTAAAATCAGTGACAAATTTAGTGATAAAATTTTTGAGTGACGAAAACTTAATTTGTCTCTAAATTCTGTCATTAATCTGTCATTGATTTTATTGTAAAAGAATTAGTGACAGAATTTTTTCATTATTAATTTCTGTTACTAATCCATCCCTAACTCCCCTCACAAAATATATTATATGGATAAAAAATACAAATATTATAAACAAAAAATAAATAATAAATATAATATAATAATTATTTTATTTAATATTGGAATAAAAATATTAACTATTAATTATTTTTAATAAAATAAAAAATTAAAATAAAATAAATAATAATATATTAAATTATATAATATGTTAAATTATATATGATATTTATTATATATGTTTGTGTTTGTAATTAGAAATATTATATATATTTATTTTTGTATAAAAATTTTGTAGGTGTTCCTCTGGCAAAGGCTTCAATATGCGTGGGAGGTCCTAAGTTTGAACTACTACTGTTTCACAAAAATTGGCTTAATTTGTAATATGGCGATGATATAAACAAGGAGATGACGTGAGAAAGTAATGATGTGGTCATCATAGGAGAGAGGAAGCAGTGATGTGGTAATGACATGGCATAATGGGAGGAAAAAAAACGATGATATGGTCATCATGGGATAGAGAAAGCAATGATGTGGTTATCATGGGAGAGAGGAAGCAATGATATGGTGATGACATGGCGACATGGGAAAGAGAGCAGGTGGTAAGGTGACGATTTGGAATCTCTCCTCTTCCCTGCTTTTTTTTAAAAAAAAAAATATTAGATTAATATTTTAACGATTCAGATTTAAATCTTTTTAAAATTAGTATTAAATTATAAAAATAAACAAATAATAGGTGACAAACTCTATTAAAATTTAATTCTAATGCTTTGCCTAGTGCTCTACATTGATCTAACTCTAATATGCTGCTCGTTCTTCAATTCAACTGGGTCCAACAATTGATTCCATGGACGCATCAACATCTTCGCAATAGCTCTCGTTCTTTGATTTTCTCGATCACATGCGAAACCCTGCTTCCATTAATCCTGTCCGATCCATCAAGAGGTGAACGCCCCTTTTCTTTTCATCTTTCTGGCTCGATCATATACCTATGGTATTAGCTTTTTGAATTTTGTGGTTTTCTAGTTGCGAGCGGCTGCTGCATTCCTTTTCCCCCTTGTTTATGTGTAGTTTCGTGTTTAGGAAGTTTGTAAATAGTTGAGTGCCCAAGATGTTCGAATCACTGAGATGTGGTAGAATTGGTGGAATTGCAAGGATCTTTTTTTTCCCCTTATTGGCATAGACCAATTCCAAAAATATTGAAATCTAAACTACTTACGCACAACATGTAGAGCAGAAATTGAATTGAATTGCCAATTTAATTACTTGCTTTAGAGTTGATGGTGTGGTACAAGACCCTCTTGCATTTGTCAGTGAATGGACCTTTTTCAATATCTTAGTCTTGCATTTTTAATTTAAGGCTCTTAGTTTTCACGATTATATATGGATGTTTGTACATTTTAATCAAATCATATTATTTTCATTGTGATTGGGTTGATTACCCGATTCAATAAGCCGGCTCAATTTTTAGTGGCTCACTAGGCATAAAATTTGCCCATATTGAGGATTTGAAATTGAAACCTAAGTAGCATTGCCAAATTCCTCTAATGAGTACTCTGTTACTAGTAAAATATAGAGTACCCGGCAACTTATTTTCCACCCTAACAGTGTACGCACACTTAACTATCATAAAGTAGAACAAGAAACCTCATTACTACAATTTTTCCCAGATGTGCTGTTATGCCACAGGGAAAATTCTAAACTAAGCAGAGGATGATCTTCTGATAAATCTACATTCGAAGGTACGTTGAATCGGAATAAGAATAACAGACATAAACCTAACCTATTTTGAACTCACAAGAATAAAGGTGGATTTCATTTCTTTTTCTCTTTATTTCAACGAAGAATTGAATGACACGCACATTAGAAATGGAACCTCGTTCAAAATTAGAATGCAGAATCGTAAGGTTGCACCCTTCATTGTTAGATTCCCATAAATCTTCGGTACAAAACAACCTTGAACCAACCAACGTCAATGAAGTCATATGAGGATCAAACCAACCTCAAACAAGCAAACTTGTCTGCAGAGATCCCATATTCCCATGCCTATGTATTGACCATCAAAATCTTCAATGTCAGACCACCCTAAACCATTCAGAACCTGTTAATCGTATGATCTCAGATAGATCCAGCTCTTCAAAACTAAATGTGTCTTAGATTACAAGCAATAAGTTGTTATACATAAGAGTCAAGTTAAAAATGAAATGTCAGCATCGGATGGCTCAGAACTAATCAACCTCTATGACAAAATCATCCCCTGTAATAGATTCATATCATTGAAAATACGTGTGTAAATTTAGACCTATCGAATCAAATTCACTCAAATCAGATTCACTAGCAAAATAATAACACCAAAGCAGTATCAATCCTTATGCATGGTCATATTGCATTCTCCATAATACATTATACATCCGAAGTCCAATCTGCAAATATTCAATCATATATCCCCTTAGAAATCATTAACAGCCAAATTAGGAAAATCTGAACAGGTAGCAGCATGAGGAATAGGTTGAACTCCGTGTCCAACATCATCAAATGAAGGTGGAGGCTCTAGAATATCCATATCTCCATCCTCTGTCTTGGGACTAAGGTCATGCGGTGCCAACGCCTCATCTGGATTATAACTATCTTTGGTGCTTTGAATGCTTTGGGAAGCCTAGGTGAAAGAATCGGAAGAATTAAACTGAATGAAGGAAACATCAACTCCATATTAATTTAACTGAAATTAATGACTGACCTGAGATGTACAATTTTCTTGTTGAGCCTGAGCATGTTGCAGGTTAGAGACCATAGTTCTCATCTCATCACGAAGCTCAGTAATACTGTCATTTTGAATTGATTGACGAATTTCCTGACGCTCTTTACGAATCTGCTCTCGAATTTCCTGCCCAAGCTCTTTACGAATCTGTTCTTGAACCATGGCCGTAATCTCCTCTTTAGATACATTTGCTGGAGAGCTTCGTGAAGTTGGCCCAAAGCATTGAATGAGACCAATCGTTTTTCCTACCCCACTAACATGACCAGGGTGATCCAGCTTCCCAATTGCCGTGACCAAGATGTCCATCCTCCCCCTCTAAGTGAAGGAACCTTGACTACTTTGCTCCTCAAGTGCATCGTGTAACATACAAGCAATAAATATAATCTCAAGCAAACATGAACATAACTTCAATTCATTTAAATTTGATTGCTTACAATTTTTCCAGCAATCTCAACAACCTTTGAATTTATATATTGGCCTTTCTTTATCCTCCCTTCCTTCCATTTTTGGTGACGAGTGACGAGTTGGGGCCTGAATAATGATGCTGGGATTTGATTTTGCAACTTCCTGCATTGTCTTCAAATTAGCTTGCATGATATTCTGCTCTACTTTCTTATAACCCTCACAAGACATGTAATGCTGATATAAATTTTTAGACTGCCTCTCTTTATTTACAGCACTTAATTTCTGTAAAAATAAAACAAAGCAAACTAAGTCAATGAAATAAAATAAATCAAAATAAATTCTTTGTAAACTAAAATGATGGTTAAAGCAATGTACTTGAAATTCAGGGTCTTGACGTGACTCCACAAACTTTCTCCAGGTCTCTTGATCAAGAAATGAGTATTTTAAACATGGATCCTCATTCTTCTTAGCACCTCGAATGTATACCCTGGTGAGCATTGTCTTAAAATCTTTCCATCGCTCACGTACTTGCTGCAACCAATGCTTCTTCATCTCACGAGTGGGAGGGACATCGTAAGTTTGCTACAAAGTACAATATGCATTTAAATAAATTAAAAGTACCAATAATAATTATATTTAAAACGACATTTAAAAGAAAAGGAGTAGAAAACGGTATACCAAAATATCTTTCCAAACCATGTCCTTTGTAGCTTCTGGTACTAACTTCCAATTAGGGAACAAAATGCCAACTTTACTTCGGGCTATAAAGCCTATATAGCTAATGAATCTATCCCCCTCTGCACCAAGTGGATTCTTCCCATCATCAAATTCCACATGCATCCTCTCCGTAGCACCATGATGTGCATCCAGTTTTGTGAACTTAATTATGCCTCTGCCTCTTTTCCTACTCGATATGCTATTCATGTTATTCCCACTAGAACCCTCCATGTGTCTGTTGAGAAAATAAGGTGAGATTGGTGAGTAGATTGAAATTCTTGGCAAAAAAAAAAAAAAAAAAAGAACATGAAAGAATATTACCCATCAAGTTTTGAAACGAATTCAGCAGAGTTTTCCCTAGAAGTTGAACCTCTTGAAATATTCAAATGATAGAAGATTACTCATTCCAAAGTAAATTATGATAAACATGTTTAAAATGTGTGCAGGTCCAAATGATCCATTACTTAAGGCAAATGACAACAACAAGTCTTATGCCACTCCATGAGATTGCTTAAGCTAAACAAGACCTCAAACAAACAAACAAACAAACAACAAGCCTTATCCCACTAGGTGGGGTCGGCTACATGAATCACACGACGCCATCGTGCTCTGTCAACAACCCAATCCTTAGATATGTTGTTAATTAGGAGGTCTCGTTCAATGACCTCATTCAGCGTTCTTCTTGGTCTTCCCCTGCCTCTTTTTATGGGACTCCATCTTGTTTGATCCACCCTTCTCACCGGGGCTTCCAAAGGCCTTCTCTGCACATGTCCAAACCATCTTAAGCGATTTTCAACCATTTTCTCTTGGATAGGTGCCACACCGACTCTTGTCCTGATCTTTTCATTTCGAATCCTATCTTTTCTTGTATGACCACACATCCATCTCAACATCCTCATTTCTGCTACTCCGACTTTGTGCTCTTGTTTTCCCTTTATTGCCCAACATTCACTACCATAAATCATAGCTGGTCTTATAGCAGTCCGATAAAATTTTCCTTTAAGTTTCTCAGGTACCTTCTTATCGCAAATAACTCCGGTAGCTTTCCTCCACTTTAACCAGCCAGCTTGTATTCTATGAGAAATGTCTCCGTCAATTTCCCCATCCTCCTGTATAATGGATCCTAGATATTTAAACTTTGATACTTGAGGAATAATTTGCTCTCCCATCCTCACCTCCAAATCCCTATTATCTTGCCTCCCTCCAAAATCACAATGCATATATTCTGTTTTGTTCCTGTTCAAACGGAAACCTTTCGACTCCAAAGTCCTTCTCCATAACTCCAAACTAGTGTTAATCTCTTCTTTTGATTCCGCCATAAGAACTATATCATCCGCGAAGAGTATGGACTTAGGGATTCTTTCTTGAACAGGTTTAGTTAGAACATCCAGAACAATGTTGAACAAGTAATCAAATTAATCCAGTGTTTAAGATAAATAGATTAATACAACAATTTAAAATATCACATAGCATCAAATTATCTTTCCATCAAATGTCTTGCATGTGCGTGCCCAAGTTTCCGTTGTTCAGAGAGAAGAGGTACCTCTTGCCAATGAATGAGAGCCATGTTCTTTATTCATTTGAACTCCACTGGCTGAAGGCGTTAACTCAGGTTCAGTTATATCATTAGAAGCATCAAATCCAGGGTCTCTTGAGATGTTCATGTTTAACGAATTTGTATAATTCTCATAATGGCAAGTTTCACAAATCCAATCATCAAGAGCTCTTCGGACAGAAATTCACATACAATTACTGCAAACAGAGAGAATAGCATTAATTAAGAATGAGATCTATTTAGCCCCAAAAAACACAATTCATGAAGTCATTGACATGATCGCAAGACAATCAGACGACCAATTATGTAATAACATCTAGAAAATTGATTATACATGTCAAATATGAGATCTAGCCCTTTAACTTACTCTGCAAAATTACTGCACAAATAACATGGAGAAAAGGATTTTTTTTTTTTTTGACAGCACAACAGCAGTTGAACATCAAGCCAACTAAAAACATTTGATGGATCACTGCACACATCAGGCTTATAAAAGGAAGTAGCTAACTCAATCATACTTCTCTTTCCCAAACAAATTGGGTCGATAAATTTAAAAAGACAAGAGAAATGAAAACCATACATAAATATAAACCACTGATGTTCAAAAATAGAAAGGGGCAAAGGTAAGAAATCAATACATATGTTCACGAGCTACATTGCATTTGGAGCACGTAGCAGTAGATTCTGGCCAACCAACAGCACCACATTCATCACAAGGTTCAACCTGCAATGGAAATGAACACGAGAACTATTTACAAAATCAATTATACAGAGAAGCCCAGTCTTCTTGATCCCTCCTTTTGAACAAGTAAAATTTCCTTTTGGAGAAAAATACAGTGGGATTAGGACTTTCTCTTACACTGAGGGTATCGTCTTGTTGCTCCAATTTCATGACTGTTTAAGGCCTCGTACTGTGATTTCTGGGCTGCTTCGTCTGCAAGGATGAGAAAGCAAAGGGAGAAAATCATGGTGATTATTATGTCTCCTTACTGTGGCTTTCAAATCCGTTAGCTATACAAAGAGGATGTTTGACAAAGACAGACAAGATAGAAGATCAATTCAAGATTATATCCACGTATAGCAGAAGTAGACCAAGCGCATTGACAATATCGTCATCAACCATCTTTAGGCACTTTAAGCAAGCTGATGTTTCAGTATCACTCTAAATCCTGTGTCTATATTTGAAATCAGTCCTTAGTTCATCCTTTATCATAAGTCTTAACAAGCACAACCTGAAAAATGGTTTTGAAACCCACAAGCGCCCTAGTTCACCAAATAAACTAATAATCTGGAAAGCCAATGCCTTTCTTCTATGAGTGAAAATAGAACTGATCGTAGCAGCAATGGGAGACAAAAAAAAAAAAAAAAAACAATTATTACGAAGTCCTCAAAGAAATGTTTGTATCTCAGAGAGAATGAGAGAGTGAAATGAACAAAAAAAAGACGCGCATGAATCGTCAAGGGAAACCTTGAATGTTGAAATCGAAACCAGAAGGCAACCCAAGACCGTTAGATGCATTTTACTCTTACCTCGCTTCGTCTGAACTTCTCACTGTTTTCACCCTCTAACGCTTTTCGTCTTCTCCCTGTTGCGTCTTCACTCGAGCTTTTTATTTTCTTTGTTTTTGTTGTTAAATACTGCCAGGAAAAGTCGAACAGGCCACTACCTTTCCCGCCTTTCTTCACCCAGGCAGAAACGAAACAGTCGCAGGGAACAAGATGAAGCGGGCAAAAGGATCGATTTCTTGAAAGCATGAAAAAGGCGGATTGACTTCTCACAGGGTAACTTGAAGGCCGAGTTTGACGTGACACTTGAAAACCCAAGGATGGGTGCTCCCCTTCACTGCTTCATTTTCTTTCTTTTTGGAGGGTATTTAGAGGAGAAAGTTGTAACAAGGTCCTATCCAAAAAAAATAAATACAAAAAATATCTTAAAATTATTAAATTATTTTAAAACATCAAGAGACCTCGTTATAATAAATTTTTATTTGTTTAATTATCAAATTATTTTTTTAAGTTTATATTGACAACTGAAAGAATATTCGTTGACAATTTAAGGTGTAAGGTGTAAGAATTGACAATTATTGCAGTAGTTATTGACAACACATTTTCTCAGCACATCACAAATTGTAATGTATGAGTTGTCAATATCTACCGCAATAGTTTTCAATCGTTACACCTTAAATTGTCAAGCACTGTTTTTTTAGTTTGCAATACAAACTTTAAAAAAAAAAAACAAGAAGGGTGATTTAATAATTAAACAAATAAAATTTATTACAATGAGATTTTTTGAGATTTTAGAATAATTTGATAGTTTTAATGGATTTTTTTTTGTATTTAATTTTCTTAGGGAAACTTTATTGCAATTTTTCCTATTTAGATAGAAAACAAATTATAATTTCAAAAATAATTTTAAAATAAATATATAAAAGAATTTGTATACTACCTCCGATACTTAATATAAGACCCCATTTGACTTTTTGTTTGGTCCTAATTATAAGACTCCAATCCATTTTATCTCTCATATTTATACATTTTTTTCCAAGATAGTCCTTCTAATAATAATAGTTCTAGTCAATACACTTAATTAACAAGGATATTTTAGAAATGACAACACTTATTTATTACAAATAACTAACTTAACTTACTTCCTTAATCTTCTCAAATAAGTCAACTGGGTCTTATAATTAAGACCGAAGGTAGTATTTTTTAAAAACACTTTTGCGTCATCCAAACAACCCCTTCCTCTGTTGCATTTATTACTACTATTACTGAATCCAGATATTAGAACTGTTTGGAGTAACTCAATTACAAGGTAAATACTCTTTTATGTTTTAAATATATTCTTATGATAAATGAGAAAATGATGAAAAATAATATATAGGAAGATACGACAAAAGAGAAATAATTAAAAGTAACATTGAAAATATGCATTAAATGTTAAGACAAATCCAAATTGAAACTTATAAAATAGACCACACTTCTTTTCAAATTTGAAGGTTATAAATAGAACTAGCAAAATTTCTATGAGAAGTGAAATTGCTTATAAGTATTTACCACCCATGGACACAAATAAACCTTTAATGATTTCATATTTAACATTTCATAAGATTATTATTTTGTTTTTATATAAAAAAAATATATAAATAAATTGAAATTATTAAAATTTAATCTGAATAATTTACAACTTTATGAATTATTATAATTTTCATTCAATAATAATGAAGAAAAGTTAAAGGAGAAAAAAGAGGACAACCGGGGAAAAAAATACCTCATTTCCGCTGGGGTACACCCACTTGCTTCTTTTTTTCTTTTTTTTTTTGGTACTAGGGGAGGGCTAACACCCCAGATTATTCAGTTTCAGAGTGAAGTCCACTACAATCAACTTCTAGCAGCGATACTAGGGGAGGGAAAAAAAAAAAAACTTCCAGCAGCAATCTTAGATGCTCTGGACAAGAATCAAAAAGAGCATACCTCCAGATTCCCATTTTAGCTAGTGCACTCGCCACTTTGTTGCTGTCTCTTGGAATATGCCTCATTTCCACTTCCTAGTTATAACTCAGCATAGCGACTATTCTGGTAAACATTAAACTGCCATTCTCATTATGCTTCCGTTGGAGTAGAAGGTCAACTAGACTCCATGCGTCAGATTCCAGAATAACTCTTTTAAATCCAAAGTCCCAAGCTAAGGACAAGCCTTTAAAAGCTGCCCATTCTTCTGCCTCCATTGCACTGCTAATACCAATGTTATAACAGAAGCCAACCATCCATGTGCCCGAAGTGTCCCTCACAGCACCACCACAACCGGCTTTCACAGAACTTTGATTCGACGCACCATCAACATTCATTTTTACCCAACCCCACGGTGGTGGTCTCCATTTAATGCTTTGATAAACCTGGCAATCAGACAGACTCCTCTTTTGATAAGACTCAAGGACAAAGTACTTCCAGCAATTCATAATATAAGTAGCCGGATCTGCTGGTCTACTCTCCACTTCTG